TTATTTTAATTATTAGCATAAGTTAAGTTTACTTAAGTTATGCATTTATTGAAATTATTATTTAAAATCTAATCACCTACTTTTGAGTTATTGTTATTAACGTATTATACATCAAACATAAAATAGTGGAAACTATTCAAATATTGTTTTACGTATAACCATTAATACATAATAATATGTTCTAAACACATACATATTTATAATATTTTATTCAAATATTGAATGGAATATTATTCTTATAATGATAAAGAATAAATTAGAAACTTTTGATTTAAAATTTGATGTTATTATATCAATATTTAAAAAAATTATTAAATGCTTGATAATTGTGGAAAGTAGGAAGTTATTCTATTGAAAATAAGTTTATATTTCCATAGCTTTTTAATTGTCATTAAAATCTTAGAATTTGAAAATATGCATATTTTAGTAACTATAACTATTGAACATACTTGAAAATTCCATAAATCAATATTTGAATAAATGCATAATTTAAGGATCAAATTGGGATGAACATAATTAAATAAATAGTTATAAACTTTATAATATTAACAAATATTATACATAAATGGAAAAAAGAAGGGAATGTGGATATCGCTCTGCTGTATGGTAGGTGTTGAATGCGTCACTACAATGTATGTGTTAAATTTGAATTCAATGATATATCATTGCGTATATGAAGAATAATTCTGAGCGGAGACTATCTACTAGCCTATATCTCTAAGTATAAACGTTCATATTTTTTTCAATTTCTATTAATAGCAACTCATAAGAAATTTTGTTCTCAATTTTCAAATATTTTAATTTACTGAATTTTTTTTAGTGACAATTAGAAAAAAACACTAAAAAAACGTTGACAATTTCAATCACCAATAAAAAGCTAAAAAAAATAGTAGAATATTATAAATAGATTTAATAATAATAAATATTATTATAAATGGAATAATTGGATGTCTATTAAAAATTAATTTTTAGTTTTACCGTTATCATAGCGATGGTTGTAAATTTGTGACTGGTTGGAGTTAGATGAATGAGAGCTTAATTCGTTACCAAAATTTAATTGAAGTCATGGTTTTTATATGATTCTATAAGCGATGTATTCAGTTAGTCAGCACAGATTCTAAAGGCCATCCGTTTCATGTGGTGATCGATCAGTCTGTATAGAAAATAAAAACTCACTTAATTAAGAATATAATACTTTGTATGAGTATAATAATTCTACTTGAAATATTCTCGGTAAAATAACATCATTTTAGAATTGAAATGTATTTTATGACAATTAGAAAAAAAATCTCGAGGTTTAGGTACCTAAAAACCATATATTATATTGTGAGTATTTGAACAATTGCTCTCGAAAACGTCAAGGTCATTTTTCATTGTACCTACTGTTTGAAGTTAGACTTTCCGATGGAAGGTAATATAGTACAGACGAATCTATAATAATATAATTTAAAATATAACTATACAATATTATTTCAAGAACTTTTATTATTCTTGATTCAAAAGTATACGGAACCAGTTTGATGGATTCTGCTAACAATAAACTAATGCATGTTCACATTACATGTTTAGTAAATACCCAATAAAAAATCCGTATGCCATTAAAATGCTTTAAGTATAGTTTTATGACCATTTACGTAAACGACTTATTGGTTGAATTGAGTATTCGATCAACATTTTAATATGCATTGAAGTTACATTTTTAAAGTGCAAAATAAAACGAGAATTTTTACTTGTGCCGAAATTAAAAAAAATATTAATCATAAACTTGATATTTGTTGCCGTTACATGTATTATTATTATTAATTGGATAAATTTCATTAAATAGTAAACGCTTATACTTAAATAAGTATTTATAATTAGTTAAAAGTTTAAATAAGCAGATAAATGGACCAATATTTTGTTGGGTACCTTGTACTACTTCACTTCAATTATCAAAACATTAAATAAATATAACCAATCAATTTGGTACTCATTTGAAATTCAATTTTTGTACATAAAAATTCTTAGAACATATTTTATTTTAGAATAAATTATTAAAAATGTAATAAATTGTTAAGTTATTATAACTTAAAAATATAATGGTAAAAAATATGTTTTATTTGAAAAAAGTTACTTTATAATGATTTAAAATTATTATAAAAATAACATTTCTAAAAACGTTTTACTTTTCGAGATATGAGTATTTACTTTTAGAAAAATCATCCAATATAATATTTAAATTATTTTAAAAATATTTAGACTAATTTTAATTTATTTAACGAATTTATTCACATTAATTTACAATACGTTGAATCAAGATATATAATAGATAATAGATGATAATAGATTATATTATCTTAGATCGTAGTATTGATTTATAAGTCTAAATTTATATACACAATACACATGCATATTCTTCCACAATTCATCTAGAATAATTTTGATTATAAGTTTCAATGTTACCTTATATGTAGATTCTATAATTCATTTTTTTTGCATATTTAAATAAAAATGCATATTAATTGCATATTTCTGAATAGCTGCATAAATGTGGCATTTTTTACAATTATTATTCTATTTTTATTCATTAAAATAGCCATTTTTTACGTCTGTACAAATATCTAATAAAGTTTATCTTCACAACCAATATTAACTGGTTGGGGTACGTGGCTTTAAGCAGCGATTTACTATGAGAAATATTTAAATAGATAAAATGTGTTGATAAGGTTTTTGACTAAAACGAAGGAAAGTGTATTGAAAACTCACGTACCTATTTTATTTCATAATAAAGAGTTAAAAAATGATCTCTTTTTATTACAAAACACTTTCAGTGTTAAATAGACACAATAACAAAACTAGAGAAATTCGTATGTTACTTTAAGAGATAATTATATTGCTCATACAAAATATTAAAAATAAGTTCAAAAAAAAAAGGGTCATGGATAGATTTTGTTAGATCTGAATTATTTACAGATTTTTGTCAACAATTTTTAATAAAATTGGTTATTTTAATTTAAAATTATTGATGCTCATAATATTGACCGTCAGACCGTATGATAATATTATTAATTATAATAGATTCTATAACAAAGTTTAAAGTCCGTCATCATTAATGCCCTATTATTACAAGTAATTTTAACGTTATAAAATTCTAAATAGTTCCATAAATCTTATACTATAAACTATTAGTTCTCTACTCTGAATCTTTTTTTTTTATGCAGTAGTTTTTATTTTATGCAAATATGTGATAATTAATAATATTGCAAAATTGTACTGGGTTGATCCTTATAATATTTAATTTGGTTTCATGGATTTAATATAATTATTATTCAATTTTTGTATTTGCTCTCTTAGTCCCTTACAATTTTACGTTGAATAACTTTTTATTCTTCTATAATTGAATTAAATCTTTTGTAAGTACATTAATTACATTTTTGTAATTTTATTCAAAATTTTCTAAGTATATTTTTTGGAAATCTATGCTTCTTATTTTAGAATACATTTATTATTATTTTATTTTTTTTACTATAATTTATTTTACAGTTAGGAATACTACTTTCGTTGTATGGAGATAAATCCTTAAATCGTCATTGTTTATTAAATTTAAGCTTACATTACGGTCAGGCGTCGTCTAGTTAAGTTGTTGAATCATATTTTTTTTTGTTTAAGTGTTGTATGTAAATAATTTATTTTAATTTAAACCCTATAAACTTAATCGAGAGTGCAAACCATCATTATCATTGAATCTTTTAACGTATTGTAAAATAACAAGGATTATTATTAATGTATACACTGATTTTTTTTAAATATATTAAAAATAATATTCAAATTATTAATTGTTATAAACTATCTCGTCATTTAAATTTTTTATCACTTATTTATAGAAAATAAATAATAAATATAATTATTTAATATTAAACATTTAAACTTAAAATTTAATCAATTTATATCATTTTATTTTTTAAAAGTGTAACTTAAATATTTTCTTTCAATCCCATTAATAATTTTATCAGAAGCTATTTTAATGACCATGTAAATATTTATTATTGATAGACTATTAAGTTTGATTAGTTCGTTTGTAATCCTTAAATAGGTTTTAGATCGTAACACTAAAAATTAACGCTCTTCTGTGCCTGTAATGAAAAGTTATGGAAACTTAAAGTTTTTTAGAAGTGACCGGACACATTTCTATAATATTACATTAAAAAAAAAAAATCTGTTAGAGTTTTTATATAATATGCTATAGGAGAATATGTATAATCTATTTTTTCAGTCATAAATATTTTAAATATTTAATTGTAAACTTGCCTAGATTATTTTTTATGATATAGTTTTTATATCATCATAACCGTTAAAAGTTAATATATTTAGAGTGTAGATACTGACAAAACAAATCGTAACAGTACATTATTTGGGTAAAGATTAAATGACCACAAATTAGTATATATATATATATATCTTAAAATTGTAATTGACAACGTTTATTACTCTACTAATTACCATCATTATATTGTTTCTTACAAAAATATTTCCAATAATTTGAAATGATAAAAATATATTAATATTTTTACAACTGGAATGTAACATTTAATAACTACAACTTTATTATACCATTGTTACAAATTTAGATTATTTTATAACAATTACGATTTACTGGTTTTCGTTAAATTTTGTTAACAGGTAGGTAAACATAATAATTAATTATGATATCAACATTCTTATCATTCAACCAATTTTACTCAGATCGTCGATTTTAAACATTAAAAGCTATACAAGTAATTGCTATATTCCCTGTACATATATTATATAACTTTCGAAATAATAATAATTTATGTAGTAATAATATATGACTGTATAAGTGTTTTGAATTGTCTGTTTACATTTAGAATTAGGTCCTAGGTATTTGCTTGTTAAATAGCATTTCTTCTTCATCGAATATGACGTATTGTAGTGGGGCTGTGTTAACCACAACCAGCTAGCTCGCCGAAAATTAAATGAAAAACCACGTAGTTGCTGCAGGAGTCACCGACGAAGAGACTACGGTGATAGTCTACACACGTCATATTATATTTAATATTATTATCTTTTCAGCAATTTTTGCTTAGGTAAGTAACAAACACAAATATTGTTGAATTGTATATTATTACATATTAAAATATAATCTATTTATAATGCAATCATATTACTAAAATAATTTATATTTTTTTATTACAATTACTTTACGTTTGTGTCAATTGCAATTAATAATCAAAACGTGGGTTTTTAACACTTTAAACATATTCAAAATAAATTAGGCTTTATAATTTTTTATTTTATTGGAGAACGTTTTTGAGTTTTTACTCGCCAAATAGTCCATTTTGCTGTAATTCGTATATTTGTATATTCATATTTTTTTATACGCAACGTAAAGTTTTATTTATCAACAAAATGTTATTAGTAATTATTTTTTATTATTAATTTGAACATACATATTTTATTTAACATTAACTATTTTCATCCACGTCCATCGTTGGACAATTTAAAAAATAATAAATATTTGTTTGATGGTATATTTAGCATAAATAATTCTACAAGTACTAAAAAATACATTATTTTTAAAATTTTAGAACTATCTAATTTGATAAACAAATGTTTTTAAAAAGAATAAAATATAATAAGAAGGATGTATTAAATATATAGGGTTAATATGCATTAATATGCTTTTGTATCTTGTCTTTTACAAAATTAGTTACTTACGTTTAATAATTGGAAACGAAAAATGTATCTTTATAGTAAATTTAGAAGTAAGTAATATGATATCAATTCTATACTTTAGTAATTTTGACTTAGGCAAAAAAAAATTTTAAATCTATTAAAACTGTTATAAATTTATTTGAGAGTAATAATTCTGAGAATGATTTAACATCTTATCTACATTGAAAGTAATAGATTTTTTCACTCATTTTATTTTAAAACTAAAATATTGCTTTATTTTGACTTAATGAATATTGTTTTGGAAATTATTAGTGATTTAATTAAAAATGGTAATTGTATTGTACATTTAAATATATATTTACTATTTTATATTGTATGTTATAATATAAATCTTAGCACTAGTGCAGATTAAATAATCGTTTTCGTATAAAAAAAGAATACTTAATGAGTTTGATTTTTTTTGTTTTAGAATAAAATTCATCGCCAAAAACCTCCCTATACCTATTTGATTTATGGAAAATTTTCTACAAATAAATTAATTATTTATCACATTCAACTAGTTTTTTTTATAGTGTTAAATGACAGTCACTAATTGTTCTTATATCCAGTTTATTGGTGATATTTATATTAAACTGTGTATGAGCAAGTTACCGGTGTATGTAATATCATTCATTATACCATTTTAGATATTAATAATAATTTAAAATCCGTTTAAAAATATCTCGTCTACTTTAACTGATTAATAAATATAGGAATTTTGTCTCGTACGTGAAAATACCTTAGTATGAACGAGTAACTTGTAATATTATTGTTTTTTAGTACGCGTTTGCTCTGCTTAATGAATCAATCATATGCCAGAAACAATAAGTTTTAACCAGCAATATATTAAATGCTTATAAATGCTTATAATTTGTTTAATTATTGTCAGTGATAAAATTTGTATTAAAATATTAAAATAGGCGTGTACACAAAAAAAAATCTTGGTTTTAATGTTAATATTTTTTAAATTATAAAGAATATTTCAGATTAAAAAGGAATTTTAGATTTCTGATTATAGAACTCTGGTAATATTACCGCGAGATAAAAAAATAAAAAATAGTTTAATATTTCAGTGCAATATTTGTGTCATGTTGCAGTGTAATATTCAGTCAATAATAATCAACAGCAATCTAATTGAATAATGAATCATTTTTTTTTCTGTTTTCCTTGTCGAGCCGTTTACACAGGATCTTAGCAATTATTTTGCTGAGGTAGTAAGGAATTTATGTTAAAAAAAAAATTGCATTATTATTATTTATTTTTTCGGCTAACACACAATGTTGCGCAACAGATATAAAATTTAAATGTATTGAAACATTAAAAATCGTCTCGAGTATTGGCCAAGTACCCAAGTTGTTCGGTACCCGCAATATATAAGTAAATAATTATTGTTATTTAAAAAAAACTAAACAAACGCAACGATACGATTATAATATTATTATGACAGAAGGAAAAATTCAAAATTCCTTAAACGATACCACACATGCGCATATACTATATAGCTGATGATGAACGATGAACCTTTAAAATATTAACTTATGCGCGTCAATTCTAGTCCCGAGAAAGGACGGCGGTCGGATAGATCGGGCGTCGTATTTACAAACAAAAACTCGAAAAAAGCAAAAGTCAATAAAATTCGCAAAAACGATGAATTGTGCATTATACTCGTAAAATTATTATTGTTGCGAAATCCTAAATACCACCATTATAGCGCGTTACATTCGAATCCATATAAAAATAATATACATATAGACGTATGCGTTACGCTCAGCGTTCCCATTTGGTTTTCACGAAACGTACGCCGCTGTCGCTTTCACGTCTCGTGTCGGTCCATTCAGAAGAATTAATTTCACAAGCGTTAACAATTTGATTTTAACCGTCAGAAAAACTGAGTGATAAAAAAAAAAAAAATCAGTGTTCGAGTTTCGTCGTGTATAGTATATTATATGGTTATGTCAATATAATATAATATATTACTTCTATTATTATATATATATAATTTTATTACATAAGTATTGTACTGTATCGTATTGTGGAACAACCGTTATAATATTATAATTATATCGTAGTCTATGACGTCGCGCGTTAAAGAAAAGTGTTTCATAATGAATGAATATTGTTACATTATTTATTGCGTACTGTGTGTCCATTTTGTATTTCTCTTTTGAAGTGGCACTTTTTTTCGCATAATTTTTCTATTATGTAGAGGCATGCGCACGTAGTATGATGAAATAGCGAAAAACGAGAAAATACATATACGTCACAAGCAATATAATAAAATAATAAAAAATATGTTATATTTATTTTTTATTGTATCGTGCAATGGTCGAATTAAATATTATTTTTATTTTGTGTAGGGGAGTTTTTCACCATGGTCCAGATGGGCGCAGAGACGACGACTATAACCGAATACGATATATTACAAGAGGAAATAGACCAGTTGAAAAACGTCCAAAAGGAACAGAAGACGACCAGTTACGACGAAGAACAGTCACAGGTTCCTGTCAGTAAACAGGAAATCATATGGACAAACGTCGTGTTTATTACTTTGTTACACGTTGCGGCCGTCTATTGTTTTTTTAACTACTTATTTACAACGAAATATCAAACTTATTTCTGGGGTGAGTACGACCTATAGCTTAATATAATCGCATAAAATTAAATTGTGTAAAAAAAAAGTGTCGAACGGGAGACAACGAGTGAGAATGTCTGTACACTCGTTTCGCTTCACACTCGTTGTTATGATATTGAATTTGACAGCTGTGTGTCTTAGAAAGCCAATTCCGATCCGAGCTTGGTTAAAACTGAATTTTCCCGGGAAGGTTTTGATTTCTTCTACGTACACTTCTTTGAATGGATTTTTTCAAGCGTATATACCTTATAAGTTCATTCCCAAGAAAAATTTACTATATCCAGAATATTAATTAGATTGAATTTCCAATTTAAAGATAGAGTTAATAAAAACTTTTGTAGCATAAAAAAAAAGTGTTAATAGAAAATAATGTGTAAAAGATACATTTTCGGTTTACACCATATATTATATATCGTCTAAAATTAAGGTTGGGATATAAGAAAACTAGTGTTATTCAAAATTATAATTTTGTTCACGCGATTTAATAAAGAAGCGGTTTTAATGTTTTTATATCAGACACCTTCGGTAGTATAATAAATTCCTGTGGCATTGTTCAGTTTACCAATGGAAATATTTTGCTTACAGTTGCATTCATTCTATATAAAAACCATAATTCATAAACATGTATTTATTTGAAATTTACTTATATAAAAATATTACAGCATTAGCAATATAATTATGTATTTACAATATACATATATATTTACACACGGTTTCAATTAATCTAACGATTCTGAATTTAACGATGAAGTTTTCACGAAGACAATGAAATAAATTTGAATTATTTGTTTTTAATGACCCATTAGATGTATTATATTATATTTGTCATAAATCGTGTATTTACATTGCAAATCAATAGACAGGGTACCGTAGGTTTAAAAGAACTACACATACACTTCATATCAGAAGTGTATATAATATAATATATTACTATCTATATTATTTTACTATTTACATTAAAATTTTTTCTTATATTTATATCCAGGAAATCAAAATGAGATATAATTAAGTTTTTAGAAATTATTTTATAAATTGAAATGAGGTAAAGAAACAGGTGTTTTATCCAGACAACTTATCTAAATACTGCTTACTGTATGTTTCAGACATACCGTATGCAAAATAATAATTGTCACGTGCAGTGAGCTGCGTAAGCATTGTATTTTAAGGACGTGTTAAAATAGAAATAATATAATTATAATGTTCATATATTAACGATGTAACCTAACCAAATCTATAACGATGTAGTTATGTAAACAAGTAAACATTAAACAGAAAAAATAATTCTAATCATATAGATTGTAATATAAGAGTACTAAAATTAAATAACTAAATCTTAAGAAAATTTTAAATAATTTTGATAATGATTATTCATTTTAAAATTGAATTCAAACTAAAAATTATAATGATTAATTATTCGTGTAAAATTCATTATCTTTTAGAGTTTAGATATTAATTACGGCTTCACAAAGTTTAATTGAATTTTAAATAATGATTTAGTAAAATATTTGATTAATCAAAATTGAACAACTGTGTATAGTTAGTTTGAAATATTTGTATATTTTATGTAACTGTAGTAATACATTTTAAATTGTTAAGATTAGATATATGAACTTAAGAATGTTTTATTTTACGTATTTACCTTCATATTTTTAAAATTTTAAATCGTAAATAGCTTATACCTTTACTTAATTAAAATTTGAAATAAATATGATATATACATATTTTAAAATTTTTTATCAATAATAAAAAAAATTTATTTTGAAATATCTATTGAAAAGAATTAAAATTAATATTTTTAAATAATATAAATGTTTCCATGTAATTTCAGTTTTCGCTGAATTGCTTGTTTTTATCTAACGTTTGTGTTTGTATCTGAATTTAATACATTAAATTTAATAACTTAGCTAACTGGTGAATGAATTCAGGTTTATTTTTTAATAAACATGACTGTCAATACGGAATATACTTGGTTTTAATAATATGAGTAGTAGAACGTTCTTATTCGTGACAAAAACTGAGATGTTTTGTTTGTTCTCATATTGCATTAGCGACAAAGAGTGAGGTCTAATCTGATCGTAACTATATATAAAAATGAGATAAAGTATAAAAGTAATTTTAAAAGAAAATATTAATGATGTTAAAAATTGAAGAAATGAAATCCAATAAAAGTGTATCAATAAAGTTGTATTTAAATTTTAACTAAAATGAAATAAATTATTTCTATTAAGCATGGTTTATTTAAAAAGTCACTTTTTAAAAGATTGCTATAGGTAATTTTAATGAAATTCGAAAAAAAATTTAAATAATTTAATTTATACTGATTAATGTACAACTTACAAGTTATTCAAATTTTAAGCCTTTGAAAATAACATATTTTAGAAGAAAAATTATTATTTTGTACAAAATAAATATTGCATATAATCAAATATATTTAATTTTTATGGTGTAAATTTGGTTTTTTTAATTAGAACGTAATTCTTGCCTCAAGAAATATTTTTGAACAAACAATTTTTGAGTATCCACATTAGTTATTTAGTGAATATTTCTGTGACATTTACATAAGATTACATTTTATTAGATTAAATGTCAGCTGGTTTGACATAATATCTCATAATATATGTTTTATATTATGCCCGAACAAATGGGGAATCAATTTTTCTAAGTGATGATATTTTTAAATTTTCATTGTTTAATTCTTATTTATGGCACAGCTTTTATAGTTGGAGGTATCGGTGGATTTGGAGTTACCGGCGGTGCACATCGATATTTCACTCATAGATCGTTCAAAGCCAAATTACCATTACAAATTATACTCCTATTGTGTTACACAGTATCAGGACAGGTATGCTTCATTGACATTAATCTTATATATTAGTTGCCATTGAAATTGTCAAGTGTTTAATGATTTTTTATTCGTCTTTACATATTTGCCTGCTATAGTTTATACAAATTAAATGTTTTATTCAATATTGAAATAATGTATTTAGTAACTCAGAACCAACTCCAATTCACAATGAAAATTATTAAATATATTCAACCTAAATCGACTAATAGAAATAGGTTTTTAGAACTAAACGGCTTAAACTCAAATCATCCATAAAAAATTTCGTTTTATAATATAATATTATTATGGTTTTCTCTGATGAAAATAATTTCTTATAATTGATTTTTGTTTGATGTTTCTAATTCCTATGTATATAGTGATTTTTCCATCGTATAACATTGCGCAAATTAGATTTAAAGTATAATAATAACAGTGATGAATACCTAATATGATTTTGTTAGTGAGAAGCTGGTAGAAAACTCGCAATGTTCGTTTTCTTGCTCCATTGTAACACTATTGTTAACTAATATTGATGAACCAACTATTATAAGGCCACAATGAGTTAAATTATGTTACATGTAACATGTGATCCATCATGATTCAATGTTCAATACTACAATAAATTTGGGTACATCTATATAAATATTCTTGAATTTAATACAATTTTCTTTGCCCGTAGAACGACATACCGGACTGGGTTCGCGATCACCGCGTGCATCACAAGTTTAGCGAGACGGACGCCGATCCACACAATGCAAACAGGGGTTTTTTCTTTTCACATGTAGGCTGGCTGATGCAACGTAAACACCCCGAAGTCTACAAACGAGGCAGGACCATCGACATGTCCGACATCAAAAACGATCCACTGGTGCAGTTTCACACCAAGTGCGTACTTTATATATAAATTAAGAGACAAGAGTAAGATACAGTGTTTCTTAAACACGTTTTACGCAGACAGCAGATACAATAGATACACTATTCGGGGAAACTACATTATTTCTTTAATCTTTAGTCATTACATTAATTATTTTTTAATACGTTGGTAAATTATTATAAAATTAATAGTTGCCGGTAGTGGGTATCCATGTACGTCTTTTGAAATTCGACTGTCGCCCGTCATTCACAATGACAGTAATAATATTAATAATAATAATTATTATTATTATTAATATTGTTTTTTTAAGTGAGCAAGACAATAAAACGTCCAATAATAATCTACAACCCACAAGTCGATGTGGTTCATGGCTCAGTGTAGAATTAGAATAGCAATAATTTGTTATATCTCTAGATAAAACTGAATGTCTTCAATCAATACCCAAGTTCTAAAAATTGTCCTTTTTTTTTTTTAAATTCTTAACAAATAATTATATGTTTGTTCAAGAACGCATTTTAAACAATACATTTGTCGTAACACGCATTTTGAATGTTTGTGCGGTTGCTGCAGCCTAATACTGTAATATTAAATTACCTAAGGCCTTTCTAAACAATTCTCTTTATTGAGGTTCAAATGTTTTTGTTTTCGTTAATGTGGGCTCGGATTTCCATTTAAATTGTTTTCTAACTATTTTTTTTTTTTGTTATTAAAAGATATAACAATGTATACGTATTCTAAATCTTTTTATATTTTTTTGTGATTCGTTAAACTCCTATTTACAGTATTATTTAAGTTCTTTCTATAATTATTTAATCGAATTTTTATATTTTTTATATTTTTTGAGAGAATTTAGCCATAGTAAGATTTCTGAAAATGATCCAAATATTGTTTAAATTCACCAAATTCACAAGTCGAATTTTAAAACTGCTACCTAGTTATTTATAAAATAACAGTAAGAACTTTATACAGTTTTAATTTAAAACTCCTATTTTCAAATAAACATATTTATTCAAATTTTATAAATCAATAATTTTTGGTTTTATGTATTATTTACATTTTTTGATTACCTAGCGAAAACAGTGCTAACGACACAATATTATTAAAATAATTACAATCAATACAATTACAAGAACACGATGGTCCCAATAATTTATTTATGATATTATTATCGTTTCAGATACTTTTTACTGTTCAAGTTGTTGTTCTGTTTCATCATACCCGTTTTGGTGCCGGTTTACGCGTGGAATGAAAACTGGACGGAAGCCATCAGTTCACTGGCTATTGTCCGCTATGTGTTGAACTTGAACTTCACGTGGTCTGTCAACAGCGTGGCTCATATCTGGGGAAAAAAGCCGTATGACAAGTAAATTAAACGAAACCATTAGTTAACCAGCGTGTTCTCTTTATACAATAATGTGTAGTAAAATATAGATATGCATCCACTTCTGGGGGTGTATTTTAGTGAAGAAATAAGAAAGTAAAGACTAAATCCGCTCTCGAGTATGACTTCTTGCGAAAGTTGTCGACGAATTATTATTTATTTATCGATATTTATGCTTTAAAAAACGTTACTTCAAGTTAAACGCGAAAACGTATTTATTTTAATTAAAAACAACAATTTACCGTGATACATGATATCGCGTCACGTTTAAAATAAATCACCGATTAAGACTGAACGTTACCCGAGTTTTTGACAAGCTTAACTGTTTCGCTAAGCGTATACTAAACGCTCGCAGTGATAATGTTGTGTTTAAGTTATATTAGGAATTTCATAAGCTCAACTACTCCCTAGTCTTCTCCACATCCTCTCCCACCAAAATAAAAAAAACATCACTCTATGGAAAAATACGCTACGAAACTTTACAATATAATATGCAAGTTCAATTCAAAACTCTTAACCATCTTGGTTTTTAACTGTTTTGCAGGCGAATTCAACCGGCTCAGAACGTGATTGTGTCCATTGTGGCGATGGGCGAGGGCTGGCACAACTATCATCACGCGTTCCCATGGGACTACAGGGCTGCCGAGCTCGGTGGGTACCTGTTGAACACAACCACCATGTGGCTAGACCTGTTCAACAGAATTGGATGGGCGTACGATCTCAGGACGCCGTCTAAGTGGCTCGTTCAGAGTGTGGCTCTCAACCACGGCGACGGAAGCTGGAGAGGGTTACCGGAAACAGCGCACGCGCAGAATTATAAGACTTCATGAACACTAATTTATTACTTTACATCATTACGTTACAAACGTTTCGGTTATAATTATTTTTATTATTATTTAATGCGCGTGTTGTGTGTACGTGTATGTGTGTGTGTATTTGTTAAATGTCGAATTTAACGTATTGTACATTTACGACGTATAATATATGATATTATATCATTTTATTAATATAAGCACCTGTTTGATATAATGTGTATACGTGTACAATGTTACGAAATAATATAATACCTATGATATTTCTAGAATACCATCATTATAATTGTTGTTGTTTTAGATTATATTCAACGGGTATCGCACTACCGTTGTTTTGTATGCTTTTCGTAGTCTCGCGGGAGACCAAGTAGTAGACTGAACATAAACGGCTACGATGGTCCCCAAAAACCGTCGTGTACTTACAGTAGATTAATATGCTACAATATAATTCGTGTATTTCGACTGCGGTATACATTCAAATACACGGTAGAACAAACGTTCCAGTCTGGCCCACCTGGACTTAATATCTTTAGGTCTTAGGTTCCCAAACTTTTGGTTTAGGTTGTACAAATTACCGGCTACAAAAATAATAGCTGTAATATAATGTTATGTAGTGTAGGCACGCGACAGTCACATATACGAGTCGTACGAATACAATGAGAACGCTTTCGTTAGTTTACTTTATTGTTTGTTATTGTAATATTATATTGTAATATTATTATACTACGGTTTTGTGTATTGCATTGCAGCTAATGTGCGTGTACGGCACAAGCCGGAGAATGTTTAAAAAATAACCATTTTTATTGTGTTAACAATTTGTTTTATAAGTAAAAATTCAAAATTAAAGTTATTATTTATTAATAATAAGTTCTAAGTTATGATTGAGGCACTGTAGATATATAATTTATGCCTGAAATTATTTTGCCTAATGAATTTGTAACTTTTTGTTTATATAAATTTATGTTTAGGTATCTTTATTTTTTCTAACGATTCTTGTATGTCTGTCTATTATATAATTTATGTACTTATTATTATATAAGTAAAAAAAAAAACCTTGATCGATTATTTAAAACATAGTTAAAATAATGTTTAATTTTGTTGTCGTATTATACATGAAATTGAATCAAAACAAGACAATTGAATGTAAAGGTATTGTATTTTTTTTTTCGAGAAAATTTATTACGGAAATCTACAAATTCTTTCATATGATAACTCTCATTTTATGTAGTGATTTCAATATTTTTTCATACATTATATTGAAAAAATAAAATATTATATTCCATCCAATATTACTGAATAGTAATTTGGTTATACTTATATTAAATAGTTACCTACCTACCTACTACAATCGTGTTTTCTTTTCAATAACTATTAATGCACATATTATTGTGTAGAAAGATTAATATTTAAGATGATATTGAAATGAAAATAGTAGTTTGGTTTGGCCATTCACAATTTCCTTGTAAAATATACAGATGTGCGTGTTACATTTCTCATCTTAGATGTTGAAATTAAATAAAAATTTTTTTTATATTAGTAGAACAACTAGTGTAAAAAAATGTTTGATAAAAAGTAACATAATAATTTATAATCAAGGTCGGTATTTGATACAGTTCAATTATTGGTTTATATTTTATTTTCAAGTTTTGCTTCAAACAGGTACCCGAAAGTTGATTAGTGTCAATCAATAACCTACAACTATTATATTTGCAACCTACATTATTTTCTAATCATATGTAATTTTTTACATCATACCTACTTTAGACTGAGCGGTCTTATTTGCCATTCTAAAAAAATAAAAAAAAATGTTCAATATAAAAAACTTATTGCAATACATGAATCGTTTAATATTATGTAAGCATTTGAAACGGAATCACTTAATTACTATAAGACAGTGTTTTTTTTTTTTTATATATATTTCGATTCCATAATAATAGTGATGCGCATTTTTTTTTTTTGTGTCGAGGTGAGCTTAGCTATATGTCACGAAGAAAAAAAGTATAATATATCTAAGAGCCACGGAAAAACAAGATGCCATTTAGGTTTTAAAATAATTCTATCTCACACTGTCGGTTGTTGAATTTATATTTTGAAAGTTATTAATACATATTTACATACTTGCAATATGTATTTTTATAATGTAATATGTTGAACAGAATTTCTTATTGACTTCGATTTATGTACTATATTATCATTTGCACAGTAATTAAATATATGATTTATCGTGTCAAATAAATAGAAAAATAGCATCATAGTACGTGTAATAAGTGTAGGTATAGGTATGCACTTAAATTCGGATAAAGCGTGTGTATGTTGTCGAGTATAATATGTAAGTCGAACAAATGAAACGTTGAGATGTTATAGATTGCCGTCATGAAAACGTCAAGAAAAAATGTATGTGTAGATACTACTTGTACATGTAGTACATATAATACGGTTACTATGTAAGGTGAAAAACCTGCGCTCCAACGAAATGGACTGAGAAGAAATTCGAGTTATTTAACGCTTATTAGAATTTAGAGCCGAAATAAAATGCCAAGTCTAGCGCTAAAACTAAACCAGTCGATATATTTATAGGTACGTAGTGTGCGTTAATTAATTGGCATGTTCACTTATAGAGCACGGATGCCAATAATCGGAGACAATAATAATAATAATAATAATTATGATAACATAAAGAACTACAATGTAATCAGTAAATTACACCAATCTCGGTCGTGTGAGAAGTATTTGCAGTAAGCGAATAAAATAAAAACTATGAGTTTTATCAAAAAAATATATGTGAGTGTATAATACTATCAGTGTATTATAGTTGTACACTAAACATCATCGACAGCTGACGATGGACATAGTCATATAATTATTACACGTCATTTCAGTACACAGCCTCCACATCGATCGAACCGCAATATTATTTGCTATTGATGTGGGTTAAATGAACCCGGTTAGGTTTACTGTATTATAGATTCGATGGGTAGAGTACATCAGGATCGTGTAAATGTTATATATTGTAAGAATTTAGACTATTACTATAAAATATAAGATTATAAATGTCTGTAGATAAAATTAAACAGTAGGTGCCTAAACTGGGTGTTATAATATGTCGCCTGATGATATAAACGCCATAACATGATGAAAAAAAAAAATGAATACTTATCATAAATTGCAAAATTCTTTGCAGTTTTATTTCGAGATTATGAAAATAGAAATACCTACAAATTTTTTTATTTGTAATTTTATATATCCTATATACATTTGTGATAATCATTATTATTATTAAAATTATGTAGACTTTTTTATGGTTAACCTATATAAATAGAGAAGTGTTTTTTCCACAGTATAGAATATATAGGTATACATTTTATCATCGAATGTAATTGCAATTATTATTATCATTTCAGTATTGGTATGTATAATCGGTATTTATACTGATGTGAATATTTATTTAAAATACTTTTGTTGTTCAATACCATATTTTATAAGTTTAAAAATAAAAGTAATTGTTTAAATTAAGTGAGATTAAAGCGATTATGGTCGGTGAACTGAACCATCGTTATCGCCAGTCTACGTTTTGCAGTTTGTTGTAAAACTAATGCCGGACAACAACGTCCAGCTATTTTAAATTTCAAATGTATTAAATTAAACTGTTTAATAAAAAATAAAAATAAAATTGATTAATAAAATGTACTTAGTGTTTGAGTTATTGTAAAAAAAAAAAAACAAATACGAATAATATTATCATTAAGTACCGATTCATTTGTACTATTAAAGTTTTTTAAGTTGATATTGTTTTACTTTTTACTATTTTCAAAAAAACACAAGTTTCATTTGTTATAGTAAGATAATGATGCAAAATATATTGAAAACACTAACCATAGTTACACACATGATTGATACGGTATTCGTTTTGATCATACACCTAAGTGCCTAGCTATTTGGTATAGAAATAACATTTAACTTTACTATTGTTTTACTTTGAATTAATTTTGATTCCATAAAATAATAACGGTTAATAGTGATGTGAAAATACTTATTATTGGCATCTTTTTCACAGTTCGTCAATATTATGAATGTTTAATTGACAATACTTGATTGAAAAAATACGTTTACAAGACGAGCGAACGGAATTTATATATGCTTGGTTTAGGTAAGGTATAGTACCTAATGCAAAATGTTTAATCATAATTCATCACAATTGATATTATACATACAACATAAATAAATTGTGTGGTTTTATGTTAAAATATAAATATTACATCATTCAATTATTTTAAATTTATACATAAAAAATAATGTACATATAAAATAAATTAATAAAAATAAAAAAACAAACTTTATTATAGAGAATTTTTAAAATCTCTGTAAAATAAAAACCAATAATAATAATACCAATACAATAATGCTAGTTTATATGATGTATATACGTTTAGTGCATAAACAAAAAATAAAGAAGATTAAATTAAACCGTAATAATTAGGAGGACGTTGTATCGAAGAGTATAATTAGTACGATACACCAACATGTAAATAGTATATAATAATATATCGATAGGGTGTGCACATGATTTCGGAGGAATATGTACGTACATATACAACTAAAAATATAAAAATAAGTCTCGTTGACAGGAAGTCTGCTGTGGTTAGCCGATCACTTGCATGACACGTTTGTCGTCTTCGGCCATGTCTTCGTCGCCCCATCCCCAAACGCCACCTTCCACGTGGTGGTGATTGTGGTTTTGGTGATGGTGTTGCTTGGTACCATCGCCCGTCCTGCGCGACCGTTTCTCCACCAGACTGGCGTTGGCTGTTTTAAGATTGTACGCTAGACCAAGTCGGGCGCACACGTCGATGAACGCCGTGCTGAAGTTTAGCCGGTAATTGCCTAGCTCGGCCGCTTTGTAGTCCCACGGGAACGCGTGATGGTAATTGTGCCATCCTTCACCGTACGCCAAAAATGCCACAGTAGGGTTCTCGGTGGGTGTGATGTTCCTAAAAACAAACAGATGATTTTCAGGGCCGTGAGTATAAACGTATAATGAATACCTATATACACCGTGATTACTGCTCGATAGAGACCCACTCGACATATGTACCCATACATTTAATTAAATAATCATTTTTTAATATTTTGTTGAGATTTTTGTTATTTATTTTATTCGTTATTAGAATTTGATCAATGATTATTGAATTTTACCATGTACTATACTTTCAATTTTCAATATTAAATACGTATTAATATTATCCGGGAGGTAAAAAGCAGATGAAGTGTTTAACGAAAAATTTTGTGCGCAATTACCGATTGCATCTAAGCATAACAATGAAGAAAATAATAATAATAATAATAATAATAATAAAAAAAAAACTATCAAAACTGTATTATAATATCTCATAAAAAAATCAGGATAAGACCACTTATAGGTTTATAAACGTAGTATGTTTGTTGTCGTCGAAACTTGTGCACGTAGTAAACGATTAAAACCGTTATATTTACTTATAGAAGTATATCCAGTACATTAATAAAAATATTTAAACATTAAATAATAATATAATATGCATTAGTCTATAATTATTGATATCGTTTGATCGTGTCACAAGTCACAAACGACACAACACTGGTCCCGCAGGCCGTGTGTTCTCTGATGTATGTTAAGCATATACAGTAGGTAGATACATAATCTATTTATACATGATGATTTTGATTTTCGCTGCGGGAATTATACACTAATATTCATTGAAAATTAGACTAATTGTTTAGGATATCTCGCGAGGACGTACAAAATGAAAGCGATTCGGTGTAAACGTGCATATCTCTTTGAGTCACTGTTTTAAACGATTAGTGATGAATTGTGCTAGACTGTATTGATATCTAATAATAGATTTTCTATTGTATATAACCATCACGGCGTAATGAATATGATGATCCCCGGTGAATCACTATACCGATTGTACGCACTTAGAGCTTTCCCGGTTTCGACAATAAAACTTTGAGAATAAAACCATGCGTCACCGAACGAAATTTACAATATATTCGTTATTTTATTGGATTTGAGTGACTCAACATTTTATAAATGGCTAGTACTGGTAACCATCGTTAATTTAGGTCGTTTTAAATACCAAATTAGAAGTTATTACATAGAATGTATGATTTTTGTAGAATAGTTTTTTGATACATTATTATAGTTTCAGTTTTTTTCAAATGTATGTCTTTAATGAATAAAATAATCAAGAACGTCAGTCAGTGCAGAGAGAGAAACCAAAACAATACTCGTAAATAAGTGTGTAATTGTCTATTAAAAAATTGTATACTACCTACCTAAACGTTGAGTCTATAATTCTTCATAAATTATCAAATTGACAATAATTAAATGAATTATATATGCATGGCGTGACTAATTAAAGGATTGCACATCATATATTATCTATTCCCCTCATAGCCGTCATTAATTAATGACGAGCGATTGGTAAGAAAGTATTTATGTTGTAATCGAAAACTCGAATTAGGGCTTTAGTTCGGTATAATACAAGGAACCGTATATGGACGTTGTTATCTGTTGTTAAAATGACCTTACAGGTGTCGCCAGATTTGATCACGTACGCTGTATTAACCGAAAAACATGTTCTCTAAATTTCTCTCTGAAAATGGACCAGTTCAAACGACAATATTGTCAATATTTCAAGACTATGAAATTATAAAGTATATACACGCAGATAGGAAATCGCCTAACCCTGTCGTGTTTCGAATAAAACTCAGGTTATTTAGGCTTGGTAAACGTACAATTTAAAACCTTCATAACATACGTCTTGGAAAGTTGCGTCGAAAAATAATTTTCACAATTTTATATGACAATTGTACCAACAATAATAATATGTAGAGCATATTGAAAGCGAAACGGTGTTCGAGACCGCGAAAATGTTATAGTATTACATTTCTCAATATTAATAACTAATCCAAATATTGTCGTATACGCTAAAACGTGTTTAACCGCATTGAAGATTACGACAATCGACCATCGGAAGGGCACAATATTTAAGTATTAAATCATCGGCTAGTGGGAGGAATCAAAAAAAAAAAAAAATTTGTTAGCTTTCACAACATCATTAAAAATTAAAGGAGAGAGATGTTCACCTTGTAGAATATCTAAGGTTGGTATAACTATTATGACGTATTGATTTGAAGAGAGTTATTATTGTTTTTTGTTCATGTTCTTTTGCATTCGTTACGTAAGACAGTGGCTAGACCAAAAACGGGCTCTTTATGTCAAACATTTATGCGTTTATTGTTATTAGTGAGTTAGTTTTTTAGTTGTCTGTACGGGTATAATTAATCATTTTTCCATTCCAGTATTATATAGGTAGTTTTATTAATGTTTGGATGGTGTACCAACTATTTATTTCTAATTTTTAACTTACAAATAAAATGTATAAAATATCTATAAATTACTACCAACATTAACGGGATAGTAATTGGTGCCAATATTTTATTGAATTAATAATTAATCATACTAACTTATCGTACGGCTTTAGGCCCCATATATGAGCGGCGCTGTTAACTAGCCACGTGCAATGTAACGATACCACGTAACGTGTGACACCGACTACAATGAACGAATACCAAAAACGCTCTTGCCAAAACCAGTATGGGATTAAAGATGGTATCAGGAACGTTATCACGAGAACTAGCCATAAATAATGCCTGAAAAAAACAACAATCAAGTCAATAATAAAAAATTATAAAACCAACAATAATTATAATATTAATAAATAATGCATATCGTTTGTAAATTCTCCGTAGCTATTAATTGTAAACATTGTTCGATTAGGTTAGGTCAAAACGACAACGTTGTTTTTGCTTTTAAACGATCTCGTGTAGACTAATTTTTACACGATGCGTAATGTGGTAAATTGCAATAAATACATAGTACATAGACGAGAGTTATGAATATCGCATTTGATTTTGTGTGCTGCGGTGTGTATAGAACTATAGCATATTCGAATGAACAGTTTAATTATGACACGACGTCCAATCGACTTAGTAGCTATAATATTTTAATACGTATTATGTAAAACGAATTTTTATACGTGGTAATAAAAAAAAATTGTATAATGAATTACTTGCGTTTCATTCAATAAAATGAAAATCGTAACGTTGAACAATATTCAAATATATTCGAATTTATTCATTTTAATTATTATAAAAGTATTTATAAATTTATTTTTTTCCAAACAATTTAAAATTATAACGCAATGTTTTCAGCTATAACAATATTTTAAAATGTAAGTTATCAATAATATTGTGAGTATAATAATATTATTGTCTCGAAGATTCTATTTATGGATTTGCTTTCGTTATGATTTAGCACTAATATTGTGATGATGCGCAAAATAAAAATAAAATCTCATTCAAATATTTAAAAAATAAAGTATTCTATTATTATTTATTTCGGTTAAAAAAAGATTCCAAATTTCATATTTTTAATTTCAAATTGTACACTGACACAGGTTTATACTGTACCTATACATGAATATCATAACAGCTTCATCACATTTGCAGTCATAAAAATTATACATTTGTACCAAAATAATTTTCTAAATTGTTTAAATATTAATATATACATATATGTATATATTTAACACAAAATGATTAGTTTAAAAAATATCTTTAATGAAATAATGTTTTTATAACTATTGAAAAAATTGTTGTTAGTGAATTAAATTTATTGATTTGAGATAACAACCATTGTAAAATTACAAAGTCCACTAAAATGCACATAACATTTAATTATTTGGGATGAAAATGTATGTCCGTAGGGAGCATAATATAATATCAATACCACTTTATACTATATAGTATAAATCCTTTCAGTTTAAGAGTTTATTATGAACTTAATTTAAGTTTTGAGAATATAGTTGATGAGTTAGTATGATGAAGAATATTTAGTTAAATAAGAACTAAATACATAAACTAATTGAAACATAATATATTTTCTTAATATTAATGTGACAAATATCTTACAAGGGTTTGGTTTGTAATACATTAAGGTTGTTTAGATTTATATTAGCTAGATAATCTACTCATTATGCATTTTTAACATAATTTAGAATGATACCTTTTGGTCATTAGCATAATGTTTAATTATACATATTATTTTCAAAAATTTGAATTTTTAGACTTACGAGTACTTCATAGTTACGTGTAACGTACGTAGACACAGATGCATAACTGTGAAATAGGCTTTAGACATTATAAATTAAAAATATTTCTTAGTACATCATAGTTAATTATACAACCGATAGTTAACATAGTTAACATGTCATATTCAAGAACTTTTAAAAGAGAAATTGTAATCTCGGCAGTCGGCATGAATTTATTATGTGTTAACAGTTTTAATAGTATTTTAAATTTTCTGCATAATAAGTGAAATATTCTCTGATAATATGGTAGGTATATGACCGCCAGAATTATGGTTCCTAATATTATATGTTATTTTCGGACGAAGGCCAATTGTAATAACAATGACAATATTATTAGCTCATGCGCCATGATTTCTGGTTTGATTTACAACGATCCACTATAAGTGTAACTAGACTAAAATATCAGTCGACATTGTTGATAACACTGTGATTTTTTTGGATTTTGGATCAAGGTGAACTGTAGATTAAAAATTTAGAACTAAGATTGTATAATATAAAAAAAAAATCAAGGAATATTATATGGTATAGACATACCAATAGTAGAATCTAATTTTGAATCCGAGAGTGATGTTATAATAAGTGTTTTTATATAGTCAAGAATAAACTCACATATTATATTATATACAAGGGGCTATTATTACACATATGCAGGTATCTAACCTAACCTATACGCAAATATTGTTATGCGTTTATTATGCATTTATTTAGTGCCTTTTTACACTTAAATAAGTAATTGCACGGTGAACAGTAGAATTTTGTTCATATGCATTTAACACGCGTACGTGTGATTTAATGACATTTTAATGCATATAAATTATAATGCGTACGTAGGTAGACGCTATATGGAACCAGAACGTTGTTGCGTAAGTAACATGCACTGCAGTAATATGATAATATTATGGCGTATTGATTGAGTTTGGCAAGTCATCCGTAGTAAATACAATTATTGAAATAAGTACATTGTATGAATATTGCGGAACAAAAAATATTGTTGCATTTTTATATATATTATTGGGTTCACGGAAACAGTATGACATGCATATTAAACCGACGCGAGTATCGTGCACACTAAAACATATTACTCAACAGACTAGACACACACAAGTAAGTTGGAACCCATAGATAACATTTTGAGAGAATGGGAGGCAAAATAAAAAATTTATCAAATATTTATAATGCATAGTTGGTAATATTTATTAAATTATAAATTTATTTTATTTTTCTACGGGAGCATGTGTCTTGTATTTCCCCTTCCCCAACGTGTGCTTATTGATATTTAATTTAACCTGTGGTGTAAACCCCCATTTCACAAGATTTCGGTGGGCGATAGTACTTACAATATAATTATTATTTTAATATTGGGTCTTGATAATATACGTACTGTGTTAAGTTTTCACTACAGTGAAAACATATTGTAACGTGTGAATAATTAACGCTATAATAGATATATGTTATTTGATAGGTAATATGTCATGAATATATACATACTCATATGTTTTTGCGTAATTATTTACAATAACCGAAAGCGTCTTAGTGCATTAATATTGTACATTAAACAGTTCTGCGTTTACCTAATGAGAAAATCCATTCAAAATCCATTTCTGATGTTCAATGTTCTGTGATGTGTCATCAAATTTAATGTTATTTTGACAATAAATTATATAATTGATTTTGAACAGAAAAAATCGAGGCCAGTTTAAAATAATATTTGAAATATCAAAAAATTTGTAAATGAAAATATCAATTACACAATATAATAAATAATTAATAATATATTAATACGTTGATCGTTGGTCGGGTAAGGCGACTTAACCATACTTTTAGTTATAGCCGTTATAAGTACGCCGAAGTTAGCCTAAGGGATTTTTTATAAATTTTATAAAATGATTACGTCAGAGTACAGAGCGATTATTATAGTAAAGTAAAATAATATAATCATGTGTTAAGTACAGCCTTCGATGTCATTTTGACTTGACTGAAAAAACATTTTGCTGTCATCGTATAATATACATTAAATATTATTCTCGGAAAAAAAATATAAGTTTTTAATTCAATTTGTTGCATATAATAAATTGGAATAATAGATAGTAAATCATATACAATTCGTATTTGTTCACATACTTTTTGCGTTAAAAATATAATAATAATAAAAAATGTGTTAACATAGACACACGAAATACTGTGGAAAATACATATGTTTTAATTATTAATTGTGTAGTGGTATTATAAATTGACAGTATAAATCATTGCGGCGGAGAAAATCAAAGCCTTATAGTCAAGCGCCAAATATATATTTGACTTAAGATTTGGGAAATTCATCGACTGACTCTATATGAAGTAGTGACAAAAATAATGAAAACAAGATTATTGAAGAAATCCGAAATAAAAGCTAGGCTCAGAATAAAAAAAAAATGCACTGTAGTAAGTCTACTGTTAACGTGTGGTATCATTGAAAAACGATACTTAAGATAATAATAGTATAATATTTGTGATTCGATAAAATGTTGTTAACTTTACTTTTTCTGCCACATGACCACCGGGTCGGCTTCCAAGTCTTTCATATCGATTGTACAACCCTTAGCAGTTACGTCCGGGTGTTTGCGGACCATCAACCAGCCCATGTGCGAGAAGAAAAATCCCCGAATCGAGTTGTGTGGGTCGGCATCCGTGTCGGTGAATTTGTGGTGAGCCCGATGATCTCGGACCCATTCATATATATGGTTCTGGAACGCCAGCGTCTGGAACACAGCCAGCAACACTCGCATCGGCAGACGTGCATTGTAACACCGGTGGGCCCATAGGCGGTGGGCTCCAACAGTTATGCCCAAAGCGCCACATGATCCCACAAAAAAAACTGAAACCACACCACAAGAATAAGTGGGTAATATAATAATGATAATAATATTGAGATATCTCTTTGATATTATCAAAGTAACATTTATCGTGATAACGTAAATTATCCGCAACTGTATTTTGGTCCTCGTCGAAGACGTCTCAAGTCTCCACGGTTTTATATCGACGCGTGAGATATTTTGATGTTTTACTCTATGGCAATAAGAAATTTATTTAGATTTTAGAAAGATTTTGGTGATTTTTTTTTAGTGAAACTAATCGACCTATGACCTCCTCCTATTAATACCACACACATTATGGCCACACCCGGATTGCATGTCAAGAATAAATAGTACGATTTCCATGTCATCTCTGGGACAGGTCAAACTGATAAATTGTAAGTATTGCGTTTTGACTTTTTTAAATAGTTATTATTTCGTGCCCCCATAATAAATAAATCAAAAAATGTTAAAATAGATTTGTTAGTTTTATAGAAAGAAAATCAATATGAATATTTAAAAAAAAAAATTTTAGTTTCACTAATTTTTAAACCTATTACTCAAAAGTATTTTTTTTTATATTTGAACACCTGTAATAATTTTTTAGGGAAGTTCGTAATTTGTACCACCGTAGGTATTAAAAAATAATAAATGTAATTTGCACCAAAACCAAAATCGATTATTATAAGATAGGTAGGTACTATTAAAAGAATAATCGTGCAAGTTTCAGTATTTGAGTACATTTTTAACTTCATTAAAGTTTTCAATGATTTTCAAACCGATACGTACATAAAACTATCGAGCTTACATATACTTATTCGGATGACTTCTAAAACAAGTGAACAGACAAATCAAATTCAAGTTAATTTGGACTAGTGTAATATTTAATTGATTTCAATATCTTCATTCATTGAATTAGTTCCAAGCAAATACAAAAAACTTGTAAGTATCAAAACATAAATTGTAATTTAATTGATTTTGCTATCAATACAACATCAGTTTTTTATTATTTTTAAATTCATATTTTTACTTTTTTTTAAATTAATTTTTTTATAGTATTTTTTTTAACTGACTATTTTTTTTTAAAATTATAATAAGACTTTTAATTTGTAACACAAAAGTAGATACTAAATTATATTTAGCCTAAAATAACATAATAATTATAATATTATATAATATGTTTAATATGTATTATTATTATTATTATTATTATTTATAAGGTATCTATAGATTTTAAGACAATACTGACGTAAAACAGTGTAAATACTTAATAGGCCATTCAATATCTATAAATTAAATATTCATTATGTCTATTTTTAGCTATTCATATCTCAATATATTGCACTCAAATATCGAAACTTGCACAATAATTCTTTCGATAGTACCTATCTTATAATAATCGATTTTGATTTTGATGCGAATTACATTTCACATTTCTTAATAAGTGAGATGGTGCAAATTACACATGTTACAAATATTTAGGGTCATTTTTGGTACAAATTGACTATATATCCTTTTTAGACTTAATGCTGACAGTAGCAACTCAACTCAATTCATTAAACTATATTTTTTCAAATTTAATTATAGTACACAAAATTAATACAATATTATGAAAAAAAAAACGTAATATATGAAAACAATAGACCATGTGGTTAGCAGTACACAATTTGAACACTTATTATATTTATTTTGGTGTGCAAAATCCATATAATATATGCACCGGTATACATGACTGTAGCATGCGCCATTACACTATTTACTCATCAACCATTGAGAATAACTTTGAGTGATTTCCAGTATTACTGACTAGTAGCTAATACATATCGTATGGTTATTATTATGGTTAATTCCAATCGTTGCGGTGTGGGCTTATATTATTATGAATACTTACAGAATAGCATGGTTTTTATTTTGATGTGTCCCGAGAATATTAGGTAAAATCCAGTGAAGGCAATCAAGTGCAATATGATAAAGCTGATTACGTTGCGCCACACGATTTCCAATTTGTACCCCTTATGCTGTGAATAAATCTTTGACTTTGACGGCCGACGGACTATCGGCGTGGGCGGCGAATGGAGTGTGTCAGCCGTCCGCTTGCTCTCGTCGTAATCGACTTGCACACCCGACCATATTTGCGCAAACGATGACGATGTGGCCATCGGGTACGGATCGGTCGCAGTATAATATATTAAATAATATTATAAAAGTGGAAGCTGAAAAACGAGACAGTCTCAAAGGTAAAGAACAGCAGCAGGCGTCGTGCATGTATATTATAAGTTACTGGTTGGGTTAGGTTTTCGAATAAATAATATTCGACAACACCAATAAATGTTATTTTAAATTACGTTTGCGCGTCTACCCAAACAACGAGTATGATTTATCTACATGATATTACCTTGGCATGTGATAAAATGACAAGCGAGAAAGAACAAATAGATCACTACACATATTATTTATGCAGTTCGCGTAATAATACATCTATTTTAATAACCGTTTGCAGCTATATTTTACAGCTTCTACAATTCTCAATTAAATTTAAGTTGACATTTCATAAACATTTTTATTTAAAGAACGAAATTGAAATGGACGTTTTTCCAGAAAATATAATTGTGGCAAACGAGTTGATACTCGATTAACGTTATTTTAATTTAGTCTCGATGTATGATAAAAAAAATAACGGTCTGTTTAAAGGTAATACATGTCTTATTATAAAATTTAATGTTAAAATTAACCAACAAGAATAAATGAACTATGATTTTTTTAATATTAATGAATCGGTTATATTTTTTATTAAATAAAGATGAACGGGTTTAAGAGTCGCCGGTGTTAGTAACGCTTGTATATTCATATTTAAGTTTGTAGTTAAGCTTAATTTAATTTCAAATTAAATTGAAACGCCAAAAAAACGTTTGCAATCTTCGTCTGTGTACGCGTATAATAGTTTATTTATAAATCACTGTATGTACATAACTGTGGCGTTATGATTCTTTTCTATAATTAACAATAATTAGGTATATAAGTAAAAGCTAAGAAAAACCCCTAATATGTATTATACATATTTTCCGATTTTTCTATTAACCATTATTGACATTTGTATTTTGATAATTAAAAGACACTAAAATAATGTTGTTTAAATCGCCTATTATATTTTTAACTATTATCATAGTTTACAAAAATTGACTGTATAAAGTTTCGAATTTCGATGACGTAGTCTGTTTGTTTTATACTTATTACATTATGTATTTATTATTATTATTATTATTATTCATTTATAGTCTATTTAGTGTTAATTCAAACGATCTATGACGAACTGATATGGAAATATAATAACAATGTGTACTTTACATAGAATAATATTATATTAACTACAATTATTAATTCCAGTCCCTAGAAATTTAATATTATCGATGCGTTTGCTCGAGTACGAAGTTATTGAACTCATTTTTGTTTTTTAAATGCGCTGAAGAAAACATTTTATATTATCTCATCTGTGAGGTGAAAACAGGAGTTTCGAGTTTTAATTTATTCCTAAATATTAATTTGAACGATTAAGCTTTTCAGGTATTAAAATTTCTGCACCTACTCTTTAATAAACATAATGAACAAATGTGTACTCTTAAAAAAAATAAACGATACAACAACGATACGATTGAAAGGATTCGATCGACAGATAATAGTTAAGTTAGCATCATACTATAGTAAGTATAATATAATTAAAATTTGTACAAATATTTGACAAATTATTGTAAATGACTTTATAGTATATTATACAAAAATTACAGTGATTTGTAATTAGTAAAATTAATTTATTAAGTGATCAGTATAATTTGAAGAGCTAACCAAAATTGTAAAATCTTAACTTAAAATTACTAATTTAATTTTGAAATCTTAAAAGTGATTTCTTATTGATTTGTTAAGTTTTGCCATTAGTTCCAAAATAGTTTTGATAAAAAGTTAGGAGAATGAGAAGTTTCGTAAATTAATCTACTTCTCCTAAACGTAAAAATTAATGTTTTGTTGTTTTGTATATGATTTTAAAATTCAAAAATAATTAACAGTTATTTACGATTAATTCACAGTGTATTATTTGCACTTATACTTTAGATCGCTTTTATTAAGGTAAGAAGAGGGGCTAATTTCGTATATTAAAATATTGTTATAGACTAGTGACACCGTAAGTCTTCTAAAATCTAAATCGTACGAATACGTATGTGTAACCGAGTTAAGAATACATTTGTTACAAGTGGCGGATTACATAGTTATTATAGTAAATTTCCATAGTAAATTATCTAGATAGTTATTATGTAGGTGTATATATTTTATACGTATTATGTAGGTGTAAGCAGTTTTTTATGAAAAATTTGCTGGTGTATGATTTGAAAAAGCCGTAATATAAATTAAAATACAAAAATCTATAGTAATGTAATGTTTGATGGAGATATTATTTTGTTTGCAATTACAACAAAAACGATGAAGTATCGTCCTCAGGCATAGTTAAGTGACATCATCATCACGATAAAATCGGGCTTGTAACGTATTTAACTATAATGCGTTCAGGATGTACAATGACATTAATTGTTCAAAAAAAGCTAAACTATTGTTATTACATATTGAAATAACTGTTAAGTGTATACTTTCTTTCATTTAAAATTTAAATTATTTTTGAAGTGTTAACATTATACTCCATTCTATTAGATTATTAAAATTATTTTTATTTTGTTTATCTAAATTTATCGTAAAATTACTTATTGAATACATAAAACCTTATATAAATGTAAATATTAAGTATTGCCTATTTAAATAAAATTCTAATTTAATTTTAAGAACTTTCTTTTGAATGTAATATAAAATATATATTATCACAATATTATATATATTTTTAGAAAAATTTAAAAGTCATGCGATACAAACTATAAGCATGTAATAAATGATGTTATTGTAGTTTATTTATTTGATTAAATAGTTTAATACTTTTACGAGTATGTCATTTATTCATACCTATAATATATAAATATTCGATAATTTATGATAAGTAGTTAAAATAAATGTATAAATTGTAAGAAATTAAAAATATTATGTAACTATTAAAATTTTATTTTAGTTTACTTTAATTAAATTATAATACTTTTAAATCATTGAATTATAAATCTGATTTTGTTATTTTGAATTGTGAAATTTAATATTTTTGTTGACATGATATATAATATAATATTGAAGTCTACTTTTACAATACTATCTTAAATGTATTAAACGATGAGTGGGTTATAGATACCTATAATTAGTTACAACACCTAAAACATTAATATATCAATCAACTATAGCTGTGTCAACAGTGTTAAACATTACGTAATATACTTCTAAAAATATTAAAAACGTTCAAGTATATTTATGTATTTAATTTAATTTATAAGCAATACGTTACGTACTAAGATAGAGACAAAATGTCTGTATAGTTTCAATATTTTAAGGTTAAAAATTAGTATAGTCGTAAACAAATTAGTTTATACAAGTTTCATCGACGTTATCATACCCAATTCTTGTAGATAACCGTAAAATTATAAATTCAATGAGAAAGAAACATCCCTAAAGATACACATCGAATTTCTATGATAACCTAAAAACCAGTGTTATATTAACATGTCAAGTGCACGACTTTATTATATTAGTATATTGGGAAAATAGTTCATTAAGATTATTTGAGCCGACCGCACACTTACCGGTTCACTGAGATTTTATCAATACCAATGACTGGCCCAACTTACGCGGTAATCAAAAACGTCTGTCGTATATTATATTGTGATATATAACACACTCCACGTATTGATAAAAGTAAAAACCTGATTTAAAATTGTTAAACAATTACCATTCAAGACAAGGATTGAAAAAGGGTCAATGTCGCACATCTTTGATTTGATTAATATCGCATTGAGACATATAGTATAAACTGATGAACATGGTGTGTACCTATCGGTTATGTTATGAATCGATCTATTTATATCTATGGCTATTAAAACATTTTTATTATTTCACGAAAATCTTGAACTTTTATCACAGTATTTGACATTAAATTAAAAAAAAAAAAGTTTTCCATTTATCTGTGCATTCGTTTTAAATTAAATGACTTGTATTTTATAGTGTTTTTATTCATTAAATTATCTAACAATACACACAGATATTATAGTTGAAAACAAATTGTAAAAGGTATTGTTGTAGATAATTGAATAAACAGTCACCGTAGAATTTGTATAATCATTATTTCTTTCGAACCAAAATAAAAATTTTCAATATAAAATTATAATTATATATTATAATATACATGATACACTTTGATTTAATTATTTGATACAGTTACGTTTTAAATATAGTCATTTTAAAATGTCGAGATTATATAATTAAAAAAATTAGTTGTTTGATAAGAATATACTATGTAAGCAATGTATACTTTATATAATATGCTAATAATAAATTTAAATAATAACGCAGAGATGGTAAATAATTGTATTGATACAGATCTATAAAATTAATTATGAAATATTCAGTGACTATCATCATATTAGTAAATATTATAATTGTAATTTAAAAAAGATTTTATTATTATTTTAGTGCGAATGATAATTTTTTTTTATAAATAATTGTCTGATTAAAAATAAAATAAAATGTTTTTGCTGAGAAAAATTCTAAATATATTAAAAGTAATATTTATAATAGTTTTTATAAAGAAATATAATTTGAAATTTTGAACATGTTGAATTTGTTTTGTCTTACATTAATTTTATCGCACTGTTAATAAATAATTGATTTTAAAATTTATTAATAGGTGTGTAGAGTAAAATATTAGGTATGATTACTCAAAAAGTTAAATTTTTATTAGTTATATAACTTTTCAAGGTATATAGTGATTTAGGGATATATTTTACTGTATTTTAAAAAGATTTTTTCTTTCGTTTTTAAAGCTAATTTTTTTTTTGAAAATCTTATAATTTTAAACTAAGCACCTAAAATCAGTTTAAATAGCAATTCAAATGAAAAAAAAAATGGGGATATAATATATTATATATCTATGTATTTTAATTCACGGTATAAAAATTTAAGTTGATTCTGTCGGAAGAGAAAAACTCCATAATAAGTAACAAAATATGTGGTTCAGTTTTATTGTGTTCCAATTTCATAACACCTAAATGTAATGAAAAATAAAATAATGATTTGATATGGC